CCCAGTTTTTCAGTGTAAGCTAGTCCATTCTTTTGTTTCCAGGTATGCTGGCGCTGTCCGTGGTGCTGGCAGAGCAGGAGGGGGAGAACCTGTCCGGTCTTTCCAACAATCCTGACAGAGCCATTTTTGCAGTCCGGGAGAACGGCACAACATGCCTGATGGTAGAGTTCGTCGTGAAATTCCTCGTGCCATATGACGTGCTGGCGCTCAACGGGATAGACGTAAGGAATCCCCCGTGCATTTTAATACATGTGGATACATGGACATAAACGAAACGCGCAGGCTGTTTCCAGCGTGTAAGATGCAGAAAAGGTGCTGTGTGATCTTTGTCAGTTGCGCGTAAAAGTTCTCGAAATACTGGAAACGCATCATGTTCAAATAGTTGTTTTCAGTCTGATTAGTAAGAGACATCGAGTTTGAATACATTTACATTATATTTGGAATCTGCGGTTGTAGTGCGCGGTCATACGTAAAATGCTTAAGTCATATATTTTTTTTATATATGTATATACTGTACGTGTGTGTAGAAAGGCGAGACATTTTTCATTCGGATTGTTATGATCAGTTTAAATGGTTTGTTTGTAAGAACCCGTTTAAATAATCTGGACATTTGGTGATGGCGCCTGCTCGTGCGTAAAAATGACCAAAAACAGTCAAATACCAAAAACTCCTTTCAGTCCGTGCCCCTGTCTGTCAACGTTCTCACGAGCATGCCGTCTTTTTGCAGTTGATCACAGAGCAGGCGCCGTTTACCCTGCCCCGCAGTGCAGAAATCGAGGGGAAATGTGGGAGCACCGAGTCAGAGATCCACATAACCTGGAAGAACAACGCCTACAACTTTAGCATCCACTTCTCTAAGGTGGGTGAGAAAACGCAACAGAAACTGCTGTAATGCATAATATACTGTATTACTGTATGCAATAAAAAAAAGTCTCCTGGGAATAACCAGATTCATGTACATCGCCATACATCACAAAATATACGTGTTCAGAAATGTACTGTCACCTGGAAGCTGAAATTAGTATGTTTCAAGTGGATTTTGAAGCCTGTCTTTTTCTTGAATTAAACGCTATTGCCAGTATTAGTAGCAGATTTATGCTCTTTGCACTGATGTAACAAACCCTGAATAATTGGGGGGAACATTTTAGAAAAAGGAAGGACTACAGTAATCATAATAATCTACTGAAAAGGTTTAACCAGTCAATGACGTCTAAAAACTAATCGGGCTGGAAGTTTTTTGCTGAGTGTGGGCCATCCTGCCCTCTTCCTCCAGCGAAAAGTCCGGTGTGACGCACAAGTGTGTGTGTGTGTCTGCGTGTTGCAGGAGTTGCGTAACAAGGGCATCGAGGTGTGGAAGATGAGCAAGGTCCAGTTCGTCTACGACACCTCGGAGACCTCGCATTTCATCAACGCTTACAACCGTGAGTCACCCGCCGAGCCAGTAGCTACTCAGCACATTTCTATAGCAATCAGCTGGAATTTGTTGGGTTTTGCATGGATTTGTGATTTCCTCTCACATAGCATATGTGTATGAGTATATACACATTTCCAGTTTTTGTCCTGAGCGTTTTGCCTAAAAATATTATTATTATCAAAATAAGACGTTCATAAATTCACCTAATGGTTTCATAAACCTTTTTATTGTTTATTTTTAGATGTATTCTTATTATTTCTACTACATTTTATTTTAAAAGATTGTTTTCCTGTCATTTTGTAGCTTCTATTGCTTTTGGTCACACTGGAACCACTCAAATTATATAAACTATTAAAATGAACAATGTTTTGTAGGACCATATAAAACGAACAGAGCCCTAAACATGGTGCTCACTGCGCGCGCGCACGCACACACGCTTGTTTTAATTCCTCGTGGGATCTTTACATTGACTTAAATTCATTTCCTGGAGACTTGATTTTACCGTATTTGCCTAAACCTAAACCTAAATTTGCCTAAATGATTTCGATGGAGACCAGCTTTTGGCCCACACTGTGTAAACAGGTTTTGGTCACCTTAAGCCTAGATACTTGATATTCACTCATGACTCTTCCTTCATCTCTAGCTGGGAAGCACACAGCCACCACCCACCGCCTGTCAGCCCTGGTGACCCCCACGGGCCGCTCCTTTGTGTGCATAGCACAGCAGACCATCACCCTCATCTCAAGTGACCACCAGAAAGGTGTCACCATCTCCATGTACGACATCCAGATCCAGCCCTTTGACATCGCCTCTGACTTCGTGTTCAGTGAACGTAAGAACAAACGACCTTTTTGAGAAACACAGCCACTGAAGTTAAGTTAACTTTTACCACACATGTGCTGCTACTTTCCACTTACTACATAAAAAAATGCATCTCTCATTACAACTCTTTGTGAGACTGGCACAGACAGGGCTCTCTGGGGGTTACTGCTGCAGTATGAGCAGTACACTGGGCTGCAGAGGGAGAAAAAGAGGGGGTGGGGATGCTAGAGAGACAAAAGAGATGCAAAGCGAGAGAGAGAGAGAGAGAAGGCAAAAGAGAAGGAAGGGTGGGGATCACTAGGACTGCGAGTGCACTCGTATCCTTGGCCTCAATGCAGCTTTTACTGACATATTCAATGTACCTGGCCGTCCTCTGATCCTTCACCTTGGATGAATAATTTCCTCTGAGCTGTTGTAAACTAGACTGTGTCAAGCTTCACTGCCATCCACAGGGAGAAACATCAGCTTTAAACCACATACACATGTCCAGAGACAGCCAGCTATCACTCAGGTGTTCTCGCCTCTGACAAACACACACGTAGGAAAATATTTTCAATAAGTGAACGTGAGAGGAAGTGTCAGTTTGAAATTTGTGTCATTGAGAAAACAAAACCCTGTTTCTTCTGTGCAAACATGCATGAATGCTAGTTACATACGCTCACATACAAGATATACAACACACACACACACACACACACACACACACACACACACAGGACACAGGGTTAACATGATGAACTGAATTCTACAGTTACTGAAGATATAGGTGATCACAATGTATGAAATTAATCTCACACTGAATAATAATTTTCCAATATTAATTAACATTGTTATATTATTCTTTTTACAAAAACACAAACTATAAAACTCTAATAACAGCAGTACACTTTATGTATAATTTGAACGGGCTTATACAAATGTGTTATAGCACTAATGTTGCAATGTATGTATCAATCAATACAAAAAAAGTCTTTTAGAGTAACACAAAAATTTAAACAAAAACTTGTAGGTGAAACAATTAGTGATTTATCAAATACTAGCTGGTTTTAGCTACTGAAGTTTTTCTACTAGGTTGTCAATGTAAATTTAATATCTTTGGGTTATAAAAACTGTTGGGGTTCAGAAAATTGTGATTTTTGGAGTTTGTCATTTTCCTGTTTTCTGCCATTTTATACACTAAGCAATTAAGAAACATGGAGTTTTGTATTGAAAATAATTACATGTAGTCCTATTTTAAACAGAATTTTGTAAAATAATAGCATCTGGTCATATCATCATGGTATGAATACATTAACAAGGCATTCAGAAAGAATACCGAATCAGACCATCCTACCAGAACTTTGCAGTCATGTTCAATCACTCTGTTATGCTGAAGGTGTTCATAATTTAACTTTCTGCAGCCTACAAGTGTATCACTGACCAGCGGGAGCGCCTAGAGGAGACCCTCCCCCTTGTCCTGGGCCTCATTTTGGGCCTCGTGATCATCATCACGCTCACTGTCTACCACTTCCACCTCAAGCTGACGGCAAGCCAGTCCCAGCTCCCCAGAGATCGTTCCATGTATAAGAACATGTAATCAGCAGCACAACGGCGCCTCCCTCAGCTCTCTCCAAAGCTAACCTGCTTGATGTTCCAGGCCTAAGACCACAGAGGAACGTGCCCTGCCACGGACTGACTCCCTGACAGAGAAGTGCGTGTAGCCTGTACCATAGGCTGACTGGAACAGCTAAAACACATGTCAATGGGACAGCCTGGGTGTATTTGGAGAGTAAACCCACCAAATTCTATTTTATCTGACTGCTGAATTAACCTCAATGCCATAAATTCACAGTCTGTACTACAGCGACTACAATTTTACTAAAAATAAAGCAAATTTATAATTTTCTGAAAATGAGTTATGCTCAGATTGAGGCATGTTTGTCATCGGAAAGTCAGTTATGAGGTCAGTTTACCTGATTTTAACCCACATAACATCACTAGGACCTTTTCATCACTTCAGCCATTTTTATCCAACTTGTCTTTTGAAAGAATTTTCTGATATTGCCTGAGCTTCTGCTGTGTTCCACTGTTGGTTGTCTTCTCTCTCTCTCTCTGAAATTGCTTCCTCATAATTTCCAGTACCTGTTGGTGGTTTTGTATTTGCTACTCCTAATATCTTTTTTTTTTCAAGAATGCCTTTTATTTCATGTAATGAATGCATAGTGTCAACAGCAGACAAGTCTTGTAGCGTGTGTAGTGCAGTGGCTTGTTTTTGCGTTGACGTCAAATCTTTTCTCCACAGATGTATTGAACATATCAAAAAAGGAAAAACAAATAAACGTCTGACAAAATTTCTGTAGTAAATAGAATTTATCAGATTGCCATATAAGTGCTTGTGAAAGTACAGAGGTTAAACATTTTACAAAATAATGTGTATAATGTTTTCAGAAACAAAGTCTATGCATAAACCTCTGCTGATGCAATTCTCTGCAGTATTCCTCTGTTCACTGAAATAAATTCCTTCACCTCTACAGCCCTGTCAAGTTCTTTATGTTATCTATCACGTTACTTAAGGACACTCTCTTTCAAACCTAAAAAAGTCAATATGTTTCTATATTGGTTGAAAAAAAAAATGAAAAAGTGTCAAATGAAACTGACTGACGGATACACCTGTCAGTAGAAAAGCTGCAGGGATGACGTATTGATTTTGTTGTCTGACAGTGGACCTTAAAAGGAACTGCAATATGAACAAGTCTCATTGAAAATAAACAGAGCATTTGTGTCAGCTCCACCTATTTATTTCAGCAGTGTGGAAGTTATACATCACTTTCAGTCACAGCCTCTAATTCCACAAACTTCACTGGTGGAGCTGATCCTCAAGAAATGGGCTTTTTACTATAAAAGGTCAACTCAAGACTTGAAAGGCACATTTTGACTGATCTCTGTTTGTGCGATGTCAGAATCAGACCAAGCACAGATTCATCTCACTTCCTCTGTTGTAACACTGTGTGAACAGTCAGGAGTGAGCTGTGGTCAACACTGTATGGTAGAACTGACACTACACTGTAAGTCAGTGAATAGCTTAAGAATTCATTATTTCTGTCAGCTTTCCAGTCAAAATCCCTCTGGTCTCCATTTCTCCAGTTTTGGGATTACCTTTGTTGGATTATTTACACATTTGTATCCTCAAAATAATTTGATTCCGAAACATCACTTCATGATCCGTTGTCCTGAGTGTGTACATCAAATTGGGCCTTTAGTACATGTTTGGAGTATGAGGTATGTAAGTCTAGCATAAAACATTTTTAACAATATAACAAAATCCCTTGCAAAGAAACATCAAATAGCTGTTGCCTATCATTGGGAGTCACTGTCTGCCACAGGTATTGAGTCTGGGTCTGTCAATTCAAAAATACTGAGTGATGTTGAAAATGGTGATGTGATTTCGGAACATTTTCAAATTGATATGTCAAGTGAAATAAGTGTCATGATATGGGTTAAACTTAACGGTATTGAGTATCACATGGGTCTTGTTTGCACTGATTTTGTACATGAGATGCCAGTGTTCAGTAAGCTTGTGTGTATCTTTCTGAGAAATGAAGTGTATCAGAAATGGAGACTACATTTGAGGAGCATTTTCATGCTTTTGATGTTGTTGACCAAGTACATGTACACACAGAGTCTGAAATAATAGAATAAAAGCACTAATAAATGTGTTCATCATTTGTAAAACACCTTGAGGCGATTTCCATCTGCTAATAAAAGCGTGTCTAGATGAAAGGTGGCTTTGTAATTGCATGTGATTTTTACTTTGTCAGTGTGTGCACAGCAGATACAGTATTCCAAGGCTGTGGAGCCTGAGAAAGATCGGCCACTGTCCCCCACCGTCCCCTAGTGCACATGACCCCAGAACGCGGAAGCA